TGTATTTTATGCAGCACACACATATTATTCCATGCTTTTTTTCCTCCCCTCCCCACTCCCTAAAAGCACATTCCAGAAACAGGCTTTACAAATAATACACTGAAACAATGCAGTACAAACCTCAGTCATGGCAATTTCACTGGAGCTTTATTGCCTCTGTTGGTAATGAGAGGGATTGTAAGAAGTTACATTTTGAACTTACAGAGATATGCAAATGATGGGTTTTTACTAAATATAATCTCAAGATTAAGTGTTTTATATCAGGGCACTTCTAATTTTGTACATATTTTAATGTATAAAAACAGTTTACAAACTTGACGTTTGCCTTCGTTTTTTTTTTTCTTGACATTTGGCAAAATTAAATTGATCCATTTGCAGGGAGATCATCAAATTGAAGACATAAGCACTTACAAATTAAAGCAATCCATGTAAGCAACTGGCTGCATTCTTAAAAAAAACCAAAAAACAGAAAAACAAAAAACCCCACACATATATGAAGGAAAAAACCACATGGCCACATCCGAGCACATTTCAGTACAAAATATTCCCTGTAACCAGGCATTTTGTCCTTGCAACAACACCCTGTTAATATTTCTTTCAACTTCAGTCATTTTGAAAAACTTTTAAGATGCCATGATAGCACAAATAACCCTTTTCTGCAACATAATTAGTCAAAGTTTTTATGTATTTCTTTATAATTACACAGTAATTATAAGCATGTAGTACCAAACTGATGACAACACTATTTTGTTGGAAAGATCTCGCATTCAAAAGGAAGAGTCTCTAAAACACCACGGCATTTTGCCACTGCCCAATGCCAGACTTTTTTGAGGGACAAGTCTGCATTGGGATGAAAAGCAAGTCAGTTCTCCTCTCCAAACACAGCATACTTGAACTAATCAATCTGAAACAGTACCAAAACCCTCAAGACAGAAAACAGCACGCAGAGATAACCTTGTCGAGCTTTTTTTTTTTTCCACCCCACCCACCCCCATAATTTCAAGTCCCCATTTTTATTTACACAAAACTGAGAAAGGAAATACTGAAAGCAGCAAAACACACAGTTTTTGGCATAGCCAATTCCAGTAGCTGGAGAAAATCTGCAACGTTTTTGAGGAACTGTATTTTTGGAATAAATGCACAACTGGATTTGCCAAAAGGGCACTGCTGTAAGGGGAGCCAGCCTTAAGGTCAACTGCACAGAGTACAAATAAAAATTTTAGCTGTTTAATAATCAATTTTTCCCTAAAATACTTTCAGCATCTGCATAAAATTGTGCCACAGTTTAGTGCAAGTACCAGTGACTCATCTCAAAAATAACTCTGGCCTTAACAGGGCAGTATTCAGAGTGTGGGCTTAAACCCCCTCTTCTCACTTCTAAGTATGGTCTGTCTCTTCTCCTGGAGCTTGTTCTTGCCAGCTTGTTTTCCAGAGCAGGATTTATCAAATCCCTTCACAACTAACTCAGTGAGGAGTAAAAGACCATAAAAGCAGCTAAACAGCTCTTGTATTATTAAAGAATTGCATCTGATAAAACCTGCTTTGATCCAAAGGAAGCGATTTAGTCAAACGCAGCAAGACAGAAGTAGTGATGATCCACAAAATAATTTAAACAACAAAGCCAGTGTAGTAGTTTCTATCTGATCTGTGCTTGTTTGGGAAAGCTTTACTCTTAATTTCTGTGTTTGGCTACCACAGTGATATGTCAATTTAAGGAAAACTCAGCAAAATAATTTAGAAAAGGGTGTCATCCATAATGGCAGTACCTCTATGTTATGAAGATTTAACTTACCAGGAAAATGGTTTCAAAACCCAGATTCACAACAATCTCACCAGCTTCTTGTACAACAGGGCCATTACCTTCGTCACACCTCAGCCATAAAAGTCACATATCTCAATTTAAAATACTGTATTGTGTAGCAAACAGTTAAGACACAAATTCAGTATATTCAAGTGTTTGATTTCCACAGAAATGAAAAACCTTTCTTTGACAGACAGATAAGCATTTCAAAACTGTAATGAAATCTGATTTCTCAGAGAGTAGCCTAGAGAACGCTGGGTTCTGTGGGGACACAGCTCGGCCCACAGGGGGGAAGTGCTCGAGTTGTGTCGTCCCCCAGCTGTCCCCAGAGCAGCTGAGCCACCAGGAAACCTCAGCCAGGGACCCCCAGTCAACAGCCCTGGGGCTCCTTGGCCATTCCTGTCACTGCTGTGACCAGAGACTCAAACTCAGACGACACCTGCACTTTTCCAGAAAAGAAAAAACTCGGACCCAGTACACTTAAATATATCACTCTTGCAGGAAGTGCTATCAGTACAGTCTTTGCAACTAGCCCCAAGTGTATATTTAAGGATTCTTTTAAAAATTGTTTTGATGTTGATCTGTATAATTCAGATGCCATACAACAATTGTCTGATGATGACCAGCGTTGTGCTTTATGTGAAATCAGAAACCTCAAAATAATTATAAAGCTTCTAGGACTTATGGGAGATGAAACTAGAGTGATCCACCAACAAAAAATAAATCCATGATGAAATCCACAGTGTTGGAATTTTAACGGGCAAGAGTGGTCCAGACTAGAAGAAAAGCCCAAACCACCAGTAGAAGAATGAAATATGATATGGTCCAAGATGTATCCTTAAAGGTTTGTCTCAACCCTCAGCCATATTGTGAGGATTGATCTTCAGTTCAGTCCAGCCAGCAGAAATTGACTGTGCAATTTTCCATTTCAGGTATTTGTACAGACTATGTACACTCTAGAAGGGTCCTTTAATGCTACACTGTCGTACTTTTTGTCCCAGCAATTTGAGGGCGTGCAAACTCCACAAAGTCATCAATAAGAACTGGCCATGCCCCTAAAAGAGGAAAACACCAGAATGTAAAAACTTGGTTCAACAAGACATTCTTTCACAAGCTTCATATCCAAACAAGCAATTTGCTTTCCAGTATTCAACTAGACAGAGTCTGAAGCAAAAAAAAAAAATAATTATTTTCCTGCTTGAAATTCAAAAGCCAAATAAAGATTTCCGCTTCCTTTAAAGCCAGTTAATACACATCACTTTTAAGGGTTATCTTCCAGACAAAAACAAAAAACTGACCAAAATCCTAACTCAAAACTGACAAGGCAATGAATGAGGACAGTCCATAATTACTAAATAAAGTTGAAGTTTGCTGCCCTCTGCTCCAGAGGTATCACAAGTTTAGTTTCCCCCCTGACTGAACTGATGTGCTGCCAAGGGCTGAGGGTAATCAGCTGTTCTTGGCTGCACAGGGACTGGAAGAGGAAAGATCGATACAAAAGTTTACAAGAGATACATTTGGTAGGAAGTGAGTTCTGTTCAGCAGCCTCTGAGTGCTGCCAGCTTCACTTCTATGTCAAAACACGTCCAAGCCTCACATAAACTGAAGCAACCAGACTTAAAAACATTCTCAGCTACGAAATGCAATAACCAGAGGACCCTACACAGAGCTGCACAAACCATGGATCAGTTACTTGGATGAAGAAGCCAAGAACTCCACCACCAGAGAATCTGTGGGTTTTAAATGGACATATAGCAGAGCTTGTCTCAGTAAGAAAGAATTTGGGGTTGTCTCAGTAAGAAAGAATTTGTGTCTGAGCTTAGACAGAACAAAAAAAGAAAATGGATTCCAAGGAAGCTTCAGCACTTCCCTTTTAAAACATTGGTAACAGAGATGATTATAACATGCATTAAAGCAGCTCCAATTGGACTTCAGATCACCAGTAATACTCTAATGGAGCTGTTTCTGAGATCGTGCCAAAGCAGATGCACAGTAATAAATGTAATATAAAACACAAAAATTAATGAGAGAAAATGGCAATGTTTACCTTCCTCGTCATAGTTAGACATATCATCTGCTATCATTGTACTAAAGTCTAGAAGAAGGTTCCAGGTATCCTTAGGAATTGATCTTTTATGATGTTCCTGTTTGGAGAGGTGGAAAATTTTATTTTAAAAAAATAAACCCTATTATACATTCATTTTTACTGTCTCAGACACATCCATATTCCCAAAACATATCTTGAACACACTATGAATATCTGGGATTTAGGTCAAGACAGTCTACTTCATCTACTCAATAACTTAAACATGTTTATCTTCCAAGTTCTGAAAATACTGCAGTCCAGATTATGTAAAGGTTTAAACTTACCAACAAAAATTTGTTCCACAAGTCTAGAAATTTAAATCTTCCATTAAGTACTAAATTCCAGTAGGCAATGGCCATTTCTAAATCTGTAATATTAAAATATATTACTTTTAGAGATATACATATCAAATATATAATCTCTACAAGTATCTAACACCAGGATGAACCATGTACCCATAAGTCTGAAAAGATTAAACTAATGGAAATATACTCACAGATCCTTTACAAAAAGGCAACCATAAATAAAGTGTTACACATATACTTTATATTTTACAGAACTGAAAATTGCCCATATTAATATCCAACATAGTCAGAACCCCCCAGGACATTTCATATGCCTTTTGCTATCTAACAATAGTAAAAAGTCAGCAAAACATTTTCAGTTAAAGATGCTATTGGCTTGAAAAGAAAATTTGTAGTATTTGGTACTAAGACTTTTTTTTTTTTAATATACAAAATACAATTTAGATAAAACCAACTTTTAACGATTTCATTTTTAGAGCAACGTTATTACAGGTGCTGCCCTTGTAACAAGGCTTTTGTCAAGTGTTCATTTCTGCAGTCAAGATTTCCTTTTGAAAAAGAATCTTTGGGTAGTGTCCCTAAGCAGACAAGATAGCTGGTTCATCTGTTTGTGGTGTTGTTTTGGTTGAGATTTGCTTTTGTTTGGGGTTTTTTTTTGTTGGTGGTTTGGGACAGTTTTTGGCTGTTTTGGTTTGGGATTTTTTTCCTTTTGTTCACTGGGTGCTTTTTGTGGTGGGCTGGCTTTTTTTTTATTTCTTTCAAAGCATCCTGTTAAATTCCTGTTTGTTTGGAATGAGTGAAGCCTGACCTGACACATTTGAGAGGAGCCCCCTGCTTGTCCAGCAGCTCCCAAAAAACCCCAGCTGGTCTGGATGGAGGGGAAGGACAGAGCCAGCTCCCCCATCCCTGGGAGTGCCAAAGGCTGAACCACCAGGAGGGGCACACAGGAGCTTGTGAGCACATAAAAGACATTTGGAACACACAACTCTGCCCAGGATCACCAGGAATTACCAGGGAACTGCTCAGTGCTGCAGCACCAAACACCACTCACTGTGAATTACCTAATTCAGTGTCCTCAGCCACAGGCTATCACACAGTGACCCCAAAAGGCTGCCTAGGTAAGAGGCCTCTTTTTAACAAAAGCTCTTATATATCTGGCAGTCTAGAAAATTTCTTCTATAAATAATTCCCTTGTGGAAGGGGGAGAAGGCACAGGATGAAGTGCACACCTCAGGAAAGAAAGAAAAAAACCCACACCAATAACCCAAGAACTGCACTCCCTCCCTTCCCCCAGGATGTCCAAATATTTAAAAGAACCCAGGGAGGTAGATCTTGGAGGTGAAACCAACAGCAAACAACACCAAGTATGAAATCTGCATTGCTGGAGGGAAAATAGGAGCTGATGGGGGGTTCTGAATTGTTTAGCATCTGATATTAAAAGTTCTCAAACAGCAGAGTCACATTATAATACCTCCTGACCAAAGTAGAGAATAAAATTTGTGAAGGATTTTACAGAAGCTGCAAAGAGGTTTGATTTCAGACAAAAGTGTGATTTTGAATCTCAAGTAGCAGAGACAAATTAGACAGAAGTCACTTCTCCTCAGTAAATAAAGCTGTATCTGAAAATGGCAACTCATTCAAGACTGTAGAGGCTCAAAATCTCTCTTTAACAGGAGATTCAGGCACAAAAACAGGCATTTTAGCTTTCAACTAAACTACTGCCTTTCTAAAATTTAACAGATACAAACTTCAGAAGAAGCTGATCAGTTCCTCAAGGAAACAGATAAAAAAACTAAGTTTTATTTCCTTGTGCTGCATTAATGGTGTGCATTCAAAGAGGCAAGGTCATCAAGTCACTGCATTTTACAGTGGTTTGTAAACAATCACTATAAACCAACTGTGCATTCTGACATTTTTATACAATTTTAAGATAATTCTTGTGGGTAAGCAAAGGCTGTTAAAAGCTAAATCTCAGGATGCTGCAACCTCAAACTCAATGTATAAGTCCAAACATGTAAAGCATGATGACATAATGCCTTGGGACAAACTACATTTTTAAAAAGAAATTATATGAAATAACAAAACTGGAAAGTAAAGATATAATTTTAAGTTTCTGTAAGTGTGAGAATGCAATCCTCCTGGATCAAATGTATAAGCCTCAAAATACATCCTCCATTTTGAATTTTATCCAGAGAGAAGCAAGAGAAGCAAGCAATGTTTGAGATGAACACCATCTACAGGGTATTCTCCAATGAGATGCAAATATCACAAGAACTTTTCAGACACCCACAGTACTTACACAGTAGTAAGAAATTATGCAGAAGAAATATATTTCCAGAACTGTGCCTGAACTACTGCACAATGTTTGCAAGATTAGAGGCCAATATACATTAAAATCAATTTGCAAGCTCTGACAAGCAGTTATTTAGACACACCAAAATTAATTGCCTAACTAGCAGCACTTACTTTGCAGCTCTGTACTTCTCCAAGTGTTCTTTTGCTCCAGGGTTTCCAGAATTATTCTTCCCTGTTCTAAATTCATGCCTAGAACTGTGTATTTATGAGCACCAAAAGGGCTGGTAAGAATCCAGACTTTAAGCTCAGTTCTACATCACTTCCAGATCCAGACTTAAAAACAAAAACAATTAAAAAACCTATCTTACACTATGTATATGCTATACGGGTATCAGAAAACTACACTTATCTGCCACTGCTAGAGCTTAACCTGCACGACGAAGCTTTATGATGAATGAGAAATAAAGCAAGTGAATCAGTTTTCCTGGGAAATTAATCCCAAAATTCAGTTGCTGTTCACATTATCTTTGTTGTAGCAGCCTAAAAAATTTATTATGACTTTCCACAAGAAACACGGATCAGCCTATTCATTTATTTGCATGATTCAGAAATGTCTACAAGCACGCACAAGTATTTTCAGACAGTATAGCAGCACTTTTAGCTCCTTTGGATACAATAAAATTCACAATCCACTGAAAACAACAACAAACAAGATACTGCAAGATGTTGAAGGAGGACATAGAGTTTTTGCTTATTTACTTATTTTCCAACACTCATTTTAAGCCAAAAGTTGGCCTGCACATAAAAGCCAATAAAACTAAAGCAGAAAGCTCATCTTTACACACCCTGGGAATGCAAAGCTGTCCAGTCTAGAGCATTTTCATTACTGAGAAAAACAAATTCACAAGCTGCCATGGAAGAACCTACCAGCCTTCCCATATTTTATTACTCCTCAAAACCAGAACAATTAACTTAAGTTACAGGATCATGAAATGCTAGTTATGGCTAATAGCCAAATCATACTATAGAGAAATGAATGTACATTTGGGCTGTTGAACATCACCACTCAAAATAAATTTTTATTCCCTCATTTTTGTTGTTTTGAATAGACAGAGATACAGTTTGTTCCTTTAATTCCATCCAAACTCCAGTGTGCTGAAATTATTTTTAAAAAGTTATTCTTCCACCACTCCACCTGTTACACCAACCAAGCCACATTCAGTGTGTTAACTCTGAAATAATGACAAAAAAGCCTTCAGTGAGGTAAGGGAGGAGAATCTCTGTAGGTAGGCACCAGCAGGCATCAGACCCAGAACAAAGGAATCCATGTCTACCATTCCAATTCTATCCTGCTAAGACATTTGCAAGCATGATGTAACAAGGGACTTTACAAATGTGCTTACACAAAAAATGGTTTTACAGCTTCAATTTATCCTAAAAGTAAAAATTCAATTAATCTGTTCAGTGCTGCAAATTCTAAGTGGTATAATTATGTCTTTAATGTAAGACCATAATCCATTGTGCTTACTGAGAACTGGATTCACTCTGAGTGAAATAAACTCTCTCTCATAAAATTCTGTAGCCTTTATTAATAATCAATTTGAATACCTTAAATTGACAACTATCTTTCAAAACACAGAGATATATTTCATCCCAAGGGTAATTATCTTTCAGATTCATTGGATCACAATAATACATTCATTTACTGCTTTAATTAGTAATTTCCAATATTTATGAAAAAATGCTTATGAATTAGAATACATACCTAAACCTTTCTGTCCCGGGTTCTTTGCAAAGTTGAAAGTAAATTGATAAAAATCCTTAAATCTTCCTGGCTCTTTTAATTCTTGTTCCATTTTAGGAATCTGGGCCTTCAGTTTTTCTATGCTGTCACATCTGCATTTTAAAAAGCACTTTTGTTTGTTTGTTTGTTTGATTATTCATTTTGCCATAAAAACATGAGTTAATCAACAATCTATAAACTATTTGTAGAATACAATACTACTATCAAAACAGAATTCATCAAATCACTTTAATGAGTCTGCAACTCTACAAGAATTTAATTTATTTATTTCTTCACATTGCATTTGCACATACAACTGATATATCAGCTTCTACAATCCACAAATTTTTTAGGAAAATGTGATGAAGACTCCTGCACTCTCACAAGGCAGAGAAATCCCAGGTGTGCCCAACTTCCCTGAGCTACCTGCCAGAGCAGCTTTGTGCCAACTAGCACACAATGCTCACACAGCCAAAGCAGGGCTTTGTTATTGCAGAGGCAGACAAGTGATGCTGGGCTCTGAAATGTCTCAGAAAGGACACCAAGAATGAGAATGCCCCAAAACAGGACCCTGGATCACACTGTCGCCATCTAACACTCAGTGAGCACTTACCCCAGCTCAGTCATTCCATCCATGAATTCCAGCTTTGAAAATTCACACTGTGTTGCAGCCCGGAATTTCCATGCAATGATGAGTACAGTGATGCTGGCTGGGTCAAGAGCTAGGTCATCACAGAACTGCTGAATTCCATCTATACCAATCTTATTTTCATCTTGAGGATCTTTGGGACATAAAAGTAAGCATCAAGAAAAACAGGTATTTGAAAAAGCTAATTTGTTCAACAAGTATATTTAAGACAAGGAAACATTTTCAAGAAGCCATTTTTGGGACCAGCCCTTATAAGAGTATTTTCAAAACAAAGTTACATGAGTGCTCCCAATGGTTAAGCTTTAACAATTGAGGCAGTTATGCAATACAGCCTCCCATACAATGAAGCTCATGTTATTTTCATTGAGAGACAAAAGCACCACAAACATTTGTTTTTTGCCTAATAATATGCAGGATCTTCTGACTCATTCCCTACAGAGCACAGTGGTTCTCTCCCCCCAGCACACTCAAATATTGGCCTCTTTGGTCAGACTGATAAGCTGAGTTCCATTAGGAGCCATTCTGCAGTGTTCATTTCCAAGCTGTACCAACACCCAAATGTGCCCATCCACGGCTACCCCAAGAGCAGTTTTAGGCATTTCCTGGCACACCTGAGGTTTCCAGCATGCAGGAGGTTGGATACAGTAACCTCCAGGGGGAAATTACGCTGCCCCCTTAGATTCCAAGTCACCCAGGCCAACTCCTCACAAAGGAATCAACATCTGGTCTGGAAGTGAGATGCTCACATTTCAACTGCGCTAACAAAGATCCACTAACGCAAGCCAACACAGACTTCACAAAAACGGTATTTGGATTGTACATATAAAACACAGGAAAACAGACAGAAAACAGAGCATTCATTTTTACATTAAGTGCTAAAACACAGCATTTGTTCTGCTCTACTGAATCCACTTTATGTGGTAGGATATCAATTGAACACTGTCTACCTAACAGATACAGAGACTTTGTTTTCTTTTACAGTCTGTTTGTAACTACATGATAGTAAGAACAAGCTGAATAAAAACCAAGGTAGAATCCATCCCTACTATGCAACCTCTTCCTTTGTCAGGATCAAGTCCTGTGTGATGTGCCTTCCCCAGGAGAGTTACCTAAAATCCTCGTTAACCATTACAACTACTCACTATACACACAATTCCAGCTCAGACCTTAATGTCCCATAAATGTAGATACATTCACAGCACATAAAGTAACTGCATGTAATCCTTGTGAAGCATAAACTTACCTTATTTCCCTTCTAATTTGTCTTGTTAGTACAGAAAAACAAAGCTGGAAGAGTCAGTTAAGATTTCCCAGCACAAGAGCACAGCATCACCAATACATTGTAAATAAGAATTATACAAGTAGGAAATAAGCCTTAAAATTCAGGGTACTCACCTTTGTATCTGTTATATAGTTGTTCTAACTTCTTTCTGTCCAGTGATCCTTTAACACTCTCTCGTATATAAAGTTCAGGATTTTGGAAAAAGTTGTCTGTTGCAACATCTAACTTCCAGTCGTTTTGAGACAGACAACTCACTGCTGTCTTTTCACTAGATTGTGTGAAGACCATAAACTGACGCACTTTATCCTTCTGTGAAGATTTCAACTTGTTCTAGTGAAAACAGACAATACTGTAACTAGAAATGTCTACTGGACAAAAAAAACACAAGTAAATAAAAAACAGTCTCTGAATGTTTTTTAAATCATTATCTTTGTAATCTTCCCAAGCAATCAGGATATCAAAGTATCTGATTGAGTCCCTCCAGAGGTGGGGCAGAGCACGCACTGAACAGTTCAGCACCATTGAGCAGCAGGCTGGTGTCCTGGTGTCCAGTACTGCAGGACCAGGGCCACACCTGGAACAGGATCTCCTGAGGTGCCTCTTGATGGCAGCAAGGGACTAGGCTGGGTCATCCATTTTAGGGAACTACACACTGAAATACCTTAAAGATTTCTTTTTCTTTAAAGAGAATTTTCACTTTGAGGGTTCTCAGCTCCACCTACATAATTTGCAAAACATTCCTGCAAGGAGGCATTGTCTCCATTTCACAGGTGCAGCAACCAAAGCTAAGAAAAAAAAAGGTAATTGTGCCTGAGGCAGGCGGGGGAGTGAGTAGCCAAGGTGAGAGCTCTGGAATTCCAGGCCTCCTGCCCAGACCCAGCCATCCCGCCCTGGCCTAGCCCAGAACTGAACACAAACTTGATGCTTATCAGCAGAGAGGGATTCCCAAGGATATTTCTGATGAGAAGAGCACACTCGGGATTTCAAGGGTATGATTTACCCAAAACTAATTGCTCATCAGGAGAAAGCAATCACAGCTCCTGCACTACACCCAAATTCAGTTATAGTTCTACAGTTCACTAAATACAGACAAAGCAAAGACTCCCAATGTTACAACTTGGTAAATTTAAGTTCTGACAAAATTTTAAGTCAGAGCTGGATTTCTTATATGGCACAAATATTTAATTTTTAGTTTACTTTGTATTCTAACCAAAACTTGTATATTCTGTTCATTATTATAACTGTAATTTCAACAGCTCCTTCTCAGGGAATACGGAGAAGAAGGGCAAAAAAAAATCCCAAAATGTGATAAAATTCAGCCAAAGCATGAATGATTTAGGAGCAGTACATGCTCGAGCTCTTAATTCCAAAGGATAATTAGCGTTCAATGACATTATCATTAGAAAAAAGAACTAATGCTTCAGAACACAAATTCATCTGTCCTAAAAGTCAGGATCAGTCTTCTGTGGCTTGATGAGTGTGAATGCTTTTATTTGTAAGAATAGTTAAGTTACCAGCTTCATTGTTACACCATTGAAAAAAAAATACAAGAGCATCACATTTGGTTTAAATTGATACTCACATAATACACTAAATAGAACAATACCCTTAGCATAAGTATCCTTTAAAATAATCCCCCCAAACCAAAACCACTCTGTATCTACAACACTTAACTGAAGCCAAACTTTTAGCTCAGGCTCCAGACTTCAAACAGTGACATTAATTAGGCTATACTATTTTAAAATCTATTATGTGTTGCTGCTTTATCTCAATCTCTTGACCAAGTTTGTCACACTGGACGTTCTACCTACAAACACATTTCTGAAACTGAGATTTTCAGATGTGGTTCCAGGTAAAGGCGAAGCCACCAGAGCAGCTCCTGTGCTTGGGTCCACAGCAGACATCCAACACCTTGCACTACTGTGCTCACACTTCCACAAAAATCAATTACATTGACAAAGTCATGTGCAATGACTTTCAGGAATGACTAATGGATTTTAGTTGCAGCATTTTAAAATGTATTGTAAACTCAGATATAAGAAAACAAACCAGTGAATGAAACCCCAAATGAAGATGAAACAATCCCAAATTTAATTTTCTCTATCAATTACCAGCTGCTTCTAATCAGTTCCACACAGCCAGACTGCTGCATCACCACAGACTCAGCTGCACTATAGGGCAGCCATATTTAATTACTTTAGCTTTTCCTTTCTTTTTTCTTTCTTTTTTCTTTACAAAGCTGGTGCCTTTAATCTTCAGTATTTTGATTTTTTTAAAACATGTACACATAAGTATGCATAGCCCATTTAATCGTGAGTACTCTGTAAAACCTCAGGAGGCTTTGTTCTGCCCTGCTCCTGCAAGGGTAAACTCCAAAAGCAGTGACATTCCACAAAAAGTCAAGGAACAGGTTTAACTAGGCTTTACCATGGATGCCCAGGACCACAAAAGGTGGCGTGTTCTGCATCTTTTCACGCAAGAGTGCAATTTGTTAGATCAAAAACTTGCAGCTTAAATGCCTCTTATGATAAAATTTAAATTCTACATATATACATGAGATTTTCCTATCCTTGGGGCTCCCTGATAGTAACAACATAAAACCTTTTTAAAAGAAGATCAAAATTGCAAAGAATCAAGCAGCTAATTATGTTAATCAGTACAATATTCAGTAAGGTATAAGACGCAATAAATCACACTGTTCAGCCACCACCTTTTTCTTGAATAATCATACTTTTCTTGGTAAAATAGGAGTTTATTTTTAGTGAAGAAGGGCCAAAGCCTTTTTTTCTACTTGATGAATGCTTCTGCAGAACCTTGCCAGTGTGGATAAGACACTCCACATCCTGAGTGACTGGACACTCTTTGCAGGTCTACAACAGGACAGCAAAAGATGGAATTACTGCTGAGTTTTTATTATCCTATTATAGCTCTTCTTCCAGCACATTAAAAACCCAGACTTCAAGCAGGATCTTCAAGCAGGTTCCAAACCTTCTGCACTTTTAAGGGCTATTTCTAGACACTGAGCACTAATACTCTATTATTGTTTTAAGTGCAATACAGAGCAGCACATAACCTTTAATCCCACAGTCATAAGGCAATGAATACCTGACACTGAAATTGCGCTCACTGTAATGCAAACAATCCACTTAAAACATCTCAACTTTAACACAGGTTAAAAAGGAAGATTATTAAACAGATACGCGTCTTGCCTATACATACAAATGAAAAACAATGGAAAGCAAATGAAACAAATTTGTACACTTATTTCTTGGGTTAAGAGGAAAAGGAAAAATTTAGTTCTGCAAGCCCTTGATCAAGTTTGTGTGGTATCCAAGCTACCTTTCATAATAAGGATGTCACAAGACAGATAACCTTATTTTTAAAACACAGAACAACTTCTCCAAATGAAAAGCTACATTATGTAGATGCATGCAACTACATTCATTCTAATTAACATCTGGTTCTATAACTTCGATTTTAAAATGAAGATTTGCCTCTTATGATGAAGTATCAAATTTGAATTTTCTAATTCAATATCCTTTCCTTGAACAGATATTTCAGTGAAAAACTACAAATGAAAAATAAAATACCTGGACTTTTATTTTCCCAAATATTTTTTTCTCCTAGTCTCAGGAACAAAAAGTGCTAGAACTTCTCTACCAACTCTGACTACAGCACTGTTTTTCCTTCTGCACTGTTTTCCTTTCTGCACTAGATTCAAAGACAAGTTCTGCACAGTGGTCATCAGCATTTTGCAGACAGCTAATAGCCGAATGAGGGCTCCACTCTCCTGGATAATGTTCAAGGGAAACAGCACCAACCTTTGTCCCACACTGCCTCACTGGAGAGCTGAGGATCCCTACTGGAGCCCTGTTCTTGGACTTGGCTCAAAGGTTCCATCCAGCCACCAGTGAGACAAGCAGGGCACGATGAGTTTTGCTGCCCAAATTTCCTTGTGGCCCCCAAGGACAGCATTCACCCAGCCACTCTTCAGTAAGCAACTGCTCTGCACCTTTCCCTTCCCAGCCACTGCTATAGATGATCCGTTTCCTTCGAGTTTCACTGCTAAGTAAAGGAATTTGAACGATGTGACATCTGTGCTTTTGTTTCAAGCAGGACTCAAAGAAAAGCCTGTTAAATTCTCATGCATGTGACAGGTAAAAGCCTTTTCTAAAATAGTATCAACCTCCACAAAGTCTAGGCCTTTACATTGACTGCATTCAGACTTCAACAAGAGCTGTGACTGTGGGAAGCATCCCTTCCCTTCCCAAGGACCCCGGGGACATCAGCTCAATCCCAGAGGTTCAGAAATGCACAGAAGTTCCGACTGCCACTTCTGTCCCTTGATGCCACAGGAATGGCCAGGGGAGTTCTGCTCCTGAATTATCCCACCTTGGACCATGAAAGGAACCACAAGACACCTAAAAATGTCTGCTTTACTGCCTGTATTCAACAAACACATGGCTAAAGCTTAAAGACAAAATCACGAGTATTTTAATTTGTTTGATAAAAAAACGTTAATTACAACAAAAATCTACAAATACACAGAACTACATCTTAACCCACAAACAGTGATGGCACACAGGTATACTACCAAAAAAATCACAAAAAGACAAAAACAATGAAAATAAGTAGCCACAGTTTCTACATAATGTAAACAAACATATCCCTCAACTATATTTTATTTTCCACAGCAGTTTCTCTAAGAGAGGGCACACAAAGTAAGAAAGTCAGGACATTTGTAAGCTTCTGTTTCAAACTGATGTGAAATCCACTTAGCTGCAGTGGAACAGAACAAAAATACTTACAAAAGTCTGCTGAGATCTAAAATCCAAAGGAAAAATCACAACATAAAATTAAAGGTGCTTTCCACCTTCTATAATGTTCTTTTAGTGGATAGAATAATTTCAGAATTCGCATGCAGGCAGAAGATCAATGTACAGATACCCAGAAGATTGCTGTAGATATAATGGTAATTCATGCTAACCTGGGAGGTGAAGGAAACACAAAAAATCAGGGCTTTTCCAAATAAAAAAAGACAACATAGAGCAGCCAGTTGTTTAGCATTCTTAAGTCTGGTCTGAGGCAAAAGCTCTATTCGTACTGTATATTTGCATTGGCCCCATAAAACATGAGTAAAATATCAAGAGTTACATAATAAATTTCACACCTTGTTCTCAGAGTAGTTCATATTCTTGAAATTTTTTTTCATGGCTGTAGTTAAAAGTGATTTAAAATATTAGTTCAAAGGGATCTCTGGTAAGCTAGGAAAGGAAACAAAATCATGCACCATCTTGTCTAGCATTCTGACTACTTCGTCCAAAGCATAATGCCAAGGATCTAAAGTTGTACTCTGGGACAATCAAACCTCAAATATTTAATATCAACAAACTTCTACAGACATGCATATGCACCACAGATTACACATATAAACAGCTGGCCTTGCAGGATAGCTTGTTGAGTTAAACACCACATAACAATGTCATGAAGTACACTAACATTACAGGAGTCAGCGTCAGACATCAAATTCTTGTAGTATTAAATTTTACAACTTCCTGTCAGCTGAGGTTTGCAGTAAGAAATTATGTATTTATCAGCACAGAAATATTTTTCAGAGAACACGAACTGGACAATGTATTAGATAATGTAAATAGAGACAAGGCTAGCACTCGGCTCTGGATAAAGATGTAGATAATCGCACACTTGCCTCGATTACCACACACAGTTCTAAATTCATTAAATCATTCAGAATTGTACAGATAGCGAAGATGGCTCAGAGTGAAATGGAGCTGCTTACTGCTCTGCCTTGACTCCTGGGTATACCTTTGTCCTCAGATGAGATGAAGCAGTAACACTAACAGGGAAGGTGAAGGACAGCTCTTCTACAGGTGCTGCTCAGCCAGCTCAAATGAAGAGTAAGAGAGGCTGAGTGCTCTCAGCAGTCCAAGGAATATTGGCAGGGTGGTGTCTCTTCCAGATATAGCACAAAGATGGTTCAACGGCAGGAAACCTCTGTCCTGAAAGCACAAGGCTGTGGCCATATGGACACTGGTGGGACTAAGGCAGAGCCAGCAGTGCTCAATCTGGCAGTGCTGGATGGACAGTTAGGAGCCAGGCCCCAGATGCAGGAACCTGTGCCATGGCATTTGTTGTGCTGGACAAGCAACCTGGCCACAGCCACTGGGAGGATGAGCCAGAGCAGTTGCGTACATGGGCAGAAAAGGACATCGAATCTCCTGTTCCTGGATGGGCATCCTCCGATCTCCGTGAAGTCTCCCTACCTTTCCCATAACCAAACAGAGGATTTTAACATACCACAAGTACAGGTATAGAATCCTACACCCAGGCACTGGAAACCATTCATACCTGTATTTACTACTTCTAAAAGCTGCAGCCTGTCATTCAGTCCCACTTCAGTGCTATGTCATCCTTTCACCTGGGTGCTGCAGTCAACAAGCACAACCTGGAACACCGTTGTCTGCACAGGGCCTAACAGCTCTGCTTGGGGCCATAAGTGGAGTATTCACATACTCCCTCCAATCTGATAAATGCCAATCTAGCAGTACAGAATTGCTACACAGAATATGTCTGCTGGTTCTTCAGTTAAGTGCTTCCAAGAAGACAGAACTCTGCTGTTTTTCATGAAAAGTTATTCTCAGAATAATGGGCCACACCATTTCTGTTATAATGTCATTTTCAACAGGACTGTTCAATTTAAATTTCTAATCTCATAGCCAGCCAATAATATATGTACATGGAAAACATCAACTGTCTATCTCATCAACTGTGTATTTATTTTGCCTGCCTACATTGGATATATGGTGAGACAGCTCTAGGTGATTTTTATGGAAAAAAGTTTTCATAAAAAGTTGTGTAACATTACTGTGTAAGCACTATTTGAGACAGTCCCAGACCTGCAGAATTACAGATTAGTAAAACACCTTTACAGTCTGAACTTTACTCAGACTTCAGTCTTAAGCTCTCATAAAAAAACACAAACGAAGATCTACATCAAGCTATTCAATTAAAAATTATATTAGTTACACAGTGACAAATTTATTAGAGGTCTGCACACCACTTAATTTAAATGCTGGCTAACCAAATTTTTACTCCAACATAACTCCATCAATTAAAGGTGACATTGTAATTTTTTTAATATGTTTTTAACACTGCTTGTCAGAATAGTATTAACAGTAAGTATAAAATATCTTTATACCAATAAGCATACACCAGTAGATCTTAAGACTCCCTCCTACACCCTTCCTAACACTGTATCACTGCTACAGAAAAGTACTGCTTTAAATTGTACAGGTGTAGTAGCTAAAGCTGTTACAACATTTGAATACGGAGAAAGCCTGGAAGTACTACTATAAACTCTTCCCTCCAGTGCATTAAGACACTGCAAGAAACCAATGAGGGCCCCCTTAATTAAACTGAAGGAATATATTTTTCTTTTGTTTAGGCAAGCAAAAACCAGCAAATGTTGTTCTAAACACTGCAGTTTCTCCCTACAAGAAGCAAGGGACCAAGTCCGTCGATTTGGGAGTCCACAGCAAATCCTCAGCTATAAGAACAGGATTACAGAGAAAACGCAAGATAAACCTTTACAAGACCTTTACTAGGAGGACCTTTGTAAGGCCCTCCTTTACAACACTTCTATGAATAGAACCGACCAAGACCCCAGAACAATTATCCACAAATTTTTCAATATAATTGCAGCTCAAGAAGCATCAACACCCCTAAGTTCCCCTGTGAACTGACAGCACTTAATGGGCCCTGAGATGCCTGAAATCCTGAGGAAAAACTCCGAGAAGCCACTGGTTCCTGGCAGCCCCTAGCACTCCCTCTCAGTGCTGCTGCAGGCACAGGGCACAGACCGCACGGAGCTGCCCACAACACCGCCGCTGTCTCGCAGAGGTGCCTGAACCCCCACACCAGGTGCCAGCGAGCCCCTCCCCGCCGTGCGGGGCCTGGCGGGGCCCCGCGGGTCGGAGGCCTGGGCGGGATCCCCGCGCCCCCCGCTTAGGCCCCTGCCCGGAGCAGCCCCTGCAGCCCGCCCTGCGGCCCCGGCCCGGGCCCCACACGCCGGCCCTGCCGTGCCCGGCAGGAGGACAAGCAGTTCCCGGGCCAGCACATCGTGCCCGGCTGCGGAGCCCCCGACACCGNGGGGCGGCCCCGGCCCGCGGTCCCCGGGAGAGGCCGCGGCGAGCGCCTCTCGATCGGCGCTGAGGGCGCGGCGAGCACCGGGAGGGGGGCTCGGCCCGAGCAGGGAAGGGAGGGGAAAGTCCCCCCCAGCCTCCTGGAGGCTGTTACGAGGTGGGCTCGGAGGGGATGCGGCGAGGCAGGCGGGGATGCGGGGTAGCAGCGGCTCCTCACCCCGGGACCCGCTGTTCTGTGTGTTCCTGTTTCGTGAATATCAAAAGGTCAAACACTTCGAGCGCCCGGTGTGAGCGCCAGGGTGGTGTGGCCGCCGTGCCCGGGGGCCTGAACGGGGGAACGGCGAGGTGGGAAAATCCCCCGGGCTTTCCAGGACGGATTCGCAAAGAGGCAAAATCCTTTGCTGAGCAGCCACGGAGACCTGGGGAAGTTGAAGTCTCGGGGTAGCAGCTTTACAGAGGAGCACCTCCACACCTGTAAGATTTCCCTGATTTCCCGGCTCCAGGCTGTGATCCCCTTCGGGTAGCTGTGGACAGATGCAGCTCTTCCTGCAGTAGCATAGCTGTACTAGCAAATGGGGCCGCAGTGGTTAGATCACGGTTTGTACCACTATTCCAGACAGTTGTTTTTTTCCCAGGAAAGCTTATTCTACCTACTGCAGGCTTTTGGCAGCCGAGGGAGTTTGGGGAAGCAGAATATTTGCTGATAAAACTCACAGTGGTGGCAAACTGCTGTTGTGAAGGACAAAGGTTTGAGATCTGATCTTGTTCTCTCATCTCCTGCTGAGCTTGGAGCTATTAAAGTAAGCTTCTGTATTTACATTACATGACTGGTATGATTGCACACACCACAGAAATTAAGACTTCAAAAAGCCATTCCTCATCATGGATGTCCACAGTTTATGTATGTGTTTGTATAGAAAAGGGTCTGAATTTTTTCTTTTTTTTCTTACTTTGCAGAAAATCAGAGCAAAACTTAGGTGGGAATGTGAGGAGTTGTATTAGGTGAGGAAAATCAGGCCTATCCTGTAAAGTGTCCAGTTTTGCCAGTGTATGAAACAGTAAAATTAAGAACTTGATATCAAGTATGTGGGAATATACAGCTGAGTTCAGCTATCCTTGGAGACAGTAGTTGCCTGGATACTTTGAATCCTACCAAAAAGCATAATTTTGAAGTTGGGGATGGATGCAAATTGGCCAGTGAACAGCCATGAACACTGCACACCAGCCCAGTCCACGTAACCATGGCAGGGGAAGCAAAGCCAAACCTGGAAATCTCTTTGATTGAGTTAGCTAATTGCCATCACTGTAACGTGCTGTGACAGCCCTCCTGCCGGCTGAAGACACAGTTTAGACCTAGCAAATTATTGCGACATGTAACAATAATCTGAGAGATGAGCTGTGCATGCAGGAGATTTCTCAGGAGAGAAAGAGGACTTTTTAAATGGATTGTTTTTCTTGAAAACTCACAGATCTTGCAGGTTTCTTGTAATGCAGGGTCTTACTGGGTTTTTTGATGGGGGAACACTGTATTTGTGTTTAGTTTTTTGACTGGCTTGTGATTTGATCTCCCTAACTTACTAAATTGCTCTGCATTATGAATTCCTGTTGTATGGAAAATCATACTTAGCTGCTTCTCAGCAGGGCAGATAAAAGGTAATCCAGTGATACAATAATGAAATATATTAAAAAATGTGAAATGCATATTGCTGCTATTTACAGCATGCATGCTACATTCTTGTGGGGTTTTTTCCAATTCAAGATCACTCCTAAGGTGAAACTTCACCTGGGAAAAGGAGTGTCTTGCTGCTGCCATTTAAGCCTAGTGTTACTGATTTTAGTGGGAGCTGCAGTGTTCTGTGTTTGTTTCCAGAGTGCTTCCATGGGGATATGGCTGAATTTCTGAATCTGAGGTTACCTTACTCAGAGCTCTTGGCCACCATGGTCTGACTAGACTGAGTTACTTCTCCAAACACAGCTCACTGCAATAGGAAGGCACACTCCTCAGGACATAGCCAGATCACCCCAATTCCATATTCTCATGTTTGAGCCTGCCTACAGATGGAGACGGGCACTTGCTTGAAGTGTGTGCTGTCTGAATCTCATCCTCACCCTTTCTGAACAAAACCAGATGCTTTATAAAGCAAGAGGCAGCATGAGGCCACCAAAAAGTGTAAGTTATCTGAACTCCGCTTGTTACGTGTTGCCTTTCATACAGCTCCCTGCAGGATAGAGCCCCAGGTCAAAGCAGGGATACCCAGTTCTGCTGCTTGGGAACCTGACACATGCACTCGGCGACACAGATGAGAAGGAAATTTCATTGTGCAATGCAGCATAATCACTGTGACCAGCTTAACATGATGACTTGTTTAATTTATTTTAAGGCTGACACACTTGCCTTGTTTTGTTGTGTGAGCGAATGATGTTTAATCTTCTCCTGTGAACTGGAAGAAAGTGAGGCAGTTTTTAAAACCAACTGTGTCAAGTGCATAACTGAATATAACACTGAGCTTGTTTACACTGACCTGAGCTCTCTTCTTGAGCAGACAAATAAGTCTCATGTTCGGTCAAAGCAGAATCCATTTAGTGTAATCCCCCAGCTGAGAACTTCCACCTAGAGCACTTTCTGAGGAAGAGGCCCAAAGCTTTATGAAGGATAGCAATAACCTAGGGCAGCTTGGACTGGACATTTCTTTCTAACCACATCTTTTTGGCAGCTATTTTGTGCTCTAGAAAATGAAACCACCAAATCATCATATACTGGTGGAACAGCCATAGGGTGATTACAGCTATGGCCCTTTGCCTGCAAACTGACCCCATGGTTAAGAGAGAACAAAGTCCCATGAACTATCCTGCACCAGGAGATTTAATGCCACTCTGTAGGCATCCAGAGGTGCAGACCCAATGGTCTCCTCCTGTTGTGCTGTTCAGCTGATACAGTTGGAATGTCTCTTTCAGCCCATTGCGGTTTTTTTCCTGCACAGAGAAGCAGAGAGGAAGTAAACAGTGTGAGTCTTCCTGTAGGTGTCTGAGCAATTTAACCTGCAGTGACACAGCACCAATATCAGAAGATTGTTGTTGATGGGTTGTAGGGAAGGGTGTTCACCTTCTTTGAAGTTTTTCATCCTTCCTGCATTACACAAGAGGTCAACAAGTTACTACACTCAGACCAAGGCACTCTTAGGAGCAGTTTTTGATATGACAGCATCTCTGGGAGGGAGCAGGACAGCTTTATGTGACAAAGCAAAATCAGGTCAGAGAGCCTAAGAAAATCTGAAAATTTCTCAGGTATTCCACCATACCCTGGCAGGCCTGAATAAACTGAGACTTTCCAGCACACCTAAAAGGCAACAGACTGCTAGGCTTCTGTATTTTTTTTTTTAAACAATAAGTACTGAGACACTTATACTAAAAGCAAGGCATTTTAAGTAATATGAGTTAGCAAATGGGAGGGCAGTAAGAATTGACATAGCTAGTTGTTTTTTATATGGACATTTTTTGAGTACAGAACTTCTGTAATACAAGGTATGATGTTTGTAACCAGAATTATTTGAAACTTTCCCAAGCTGTAATCCACATAGTGCCATCACAGCTTCATGATTAAATCCTACACCTTTGAACTGTAAGCAGCTTTCTATTCTCACTACAAAGAATTACAGGTGATTTCAAGAATCTAGAAGACTGAGACACAATTATTTTCCTATCCCAGTGACTTTCTGTATGTGCCATCTGTAATAGTACAACATAATAAAAATGAGCCATCCCAATGCAAAGCACATATTTTGATATTAGTATACAAAAAAATAATTTAAGTTACTTATATTGGAGGCAGAGCCTTTTGCCTTGAAGGCAGGCACACTGCAGCTGTACAAAGCAGGAGCAGTAAGATGGCTTTTGCTTCCTGTCACGTTACACACATTCAGCCTTTTCCACTCCTTGTAATAGCAAACTGATTCTTGGGCTCATGATTAATTGTCAATTGATCAATATTGTCCCGATTGTAACCTCCATGCACAAGACTGCCTGCCATCAATACAGTGGGGCAGGCCTCAAGGAAAATGTGCATTAACCACATCTATATGTAACAGTGCTGGGTTTAAATGGGTTTACTCTCATATTTTACCTCATTTTACAACTCTGTAGAGCAGCAGCTGTGTCTGATGTTTCTGGGATGCTTCATCCAGGACACTGAACAGGCATGGGGTCTTTGGTGGCACATCCCATCCAGTATCAATCACTGAGTGTTCCTGTGTGTGAGCAAAATGGGACAGCCCAGGAAATGCCACCTTCTTTTCCAGAGAGGCCAAAGAGGGATGCAGCTCTCAGCAGCAGCCTTTTTTACCACTCTTTGGAGCTTTGCTGTGGCACCAGAACTGTTCAAAGGAAAACAGCCTGTCATGGTTTAACCCCAACTGGCAGCTAAGTACCACACAGCTGCTCACATCCAGTGGGATGGGGAACACAGGAAAATGGGATCTGCCCCTTTATAGCTTGGTGGCATTAGGATGCACTGTGCACAAATAGCTGCTAGAGCCTACACTCCTGTGGGTCTATTGTGCTGTGCCACAGTCCCACAGACCTGACCTGAAGGTCCCTCTCCTCCACCTGGCTGGAGACAGGGCCCCTCTGGTACTGGGTCTTAGGATCCCCGACTTGTAAAAATGGATTTTTTTTTTCCATAGGATTGGGAGTAAGATCAGCTCTTCCCTCTGGAGAACTACTCACTGGAGAAGCAGTTTTCCTGGAAGAACCCATTTGTGATTGTTTTTTCTTTCTTTTACAACCAGCAATTCTATTATATCATAAGCCAGTGTAATAAAGTACAACAGCATCAAGCTTAGTCCAGCCCCCAGAGGTGATAAACAGCACAAAGGCAACTTGGACACCAAGGACATCATCACATGACACAAACGTGAGAACAAGCACAACAACTGAGAACAACACTGTGACCACTGACTATTAAATTAATTAATTCATTAATATAATGAATGCTTGTAACAAATCTGTTTTACACACTCTGGTCAGATCTGTTGTTATCTCCACCCTTCATGCCCCACATTGGGCTCCAAAAAGATCTGTCACAGTTTAACTCCACTAGCAATTAGGTACCAGGCAACTGCTCATTCACCACCCTCACTTCCTGCTGGGATGGGGAAGAGGATGGGAATAAAAGGGCAAAACTCATGGGTTGAAGTAAGAACAATTTAATAACTGAAATAAAATATAATAAATAATAATACTACAACTGTAACGAAAAGATGACAAAGGGAATGAGAAATAAAACCCAGCAGACAGGTGATGCGCACTACAGGTGCTCAATGCAGCCTGACTGATGCCCAGAATGTCCCCAAGCAGCAATTGGCTCCTGGCCAGCTTCCCCCATGTCTGTGCTTGGCACAGTGTTCTGTGGTATGGAATGTCCCTTGGGCCAATTTGGGTCAGCTGTCCCAGCCCTGCTCCCTCCCAGCTCTTTCTACACCTGCCTGCTGCCAGAGCATGGGAAACTGGAAAACTTTTAACTTAGAGCAAGCAGGATTTAGCAACAACTAAAACATCAGTTTGTTACCAACATTATTCTCTCACTGCCTCCAAAACACAGCCCTGGACCAGCTATTAGGAGGAAAGTTAACTCCCAGCTGAAACCAGGACACAGATTAAAGCTAAAATCCTGCAACCATTATGATTTTAAAACCCAGCAGGGCTCCAGATGTGTTTTATTAATTACTGCTATAATAAAAAAATGGTGTATTCAACCAGAACATCCATGTTTGTTTTAATATGAATTCATTGTATAATCAACAGGTTTTAAGATAACATCAAATGTCTCAAAATTGCTTTCAGCATCCAGGCTCTCTTCCAAGAAATTCAGTTGGATCACATAAAAATAAATACTGAGGTTTCAATTATCAATTTCTGCAATATTGATTTTTTTAATACAGCTTTCAGTACTGTATATTACTTTCCAAATAGAATTCTTATGCAGAAGGATATGCCCCAATGTTATAGAGGTACTAGGTGATACTTACCTGCAAGGCATGTGTGTCTAAAAATCTGTTTGGAACATGACTGTACAAGAAGTTGAACTATGTGTTGAGAATATACTTTGTATAAAAAGCTGGTAGTTCAGAACTTAATCAATTGCCATTGATTGTTCAGTAAACACATTTTACTCAACACAGCTGAGCTTTTTACAAACAGAACACAGACAATTCCTGATCTGCTTGAAAAGCATTATTAATAGCAATGAATATACCTACAACAGTTCACTGGTACCTATTTCAAGGCACATATTAACAAGTTACTTTAATAAAAGAGTTGTGTGCCCACATGAACTTTTTTTCCTCTACATTGACTAATTTTAAAGGTCCTGCCAAAAACCACTTGAGTACTCATTTTTTAAGCAGTATGAAGACTTGAAGCTTGGGTTTCCTGGTAACTAGCTGGTACAATCATTACAACAAAGCATACAATACACACTGGAAACTTTGTAACTCTATGGTATTGATATTTGATGTTTAAAAGGGTAAAAAAACCCTTTACAAGTAGAGTTAGTCTACATCTGAAATTACAACTTTCCCAACAAGCAGAGAAAATTATTTATAAATCAGTGTCTCCACAAATTTTGCAGTGTTTCGATTGCCATCAACCTCGTTAAATAGGAGGAAACAGGCAAATATCTACCAAGTGACCTGCCTGAAGTCACAGTGAGTCAGTGACTGAAACAAGAACAGTCCTGCTCTCCTGCTTCCTACTCCCTGTGTCCCATTCCCCAGTCCAGCATGGATTGAGACTCCTTACCACACAGCTTCCCTGGGTATAAGCCACAGGAAGTGGCAGCAGCTGGAGAGTGCAGGAGAGATGGAGAGCCCCACAGTGAGATCACTGAAGGTTACGCAGGGCTCTCATTGTGGTCTGGCACCACTCACACTGCTGGGCAGGATGATCCATTCCTGATCCAAGCTGATCAGTGCTCAGAGTGTCACTCCCTGACCCTGTCTCAGAGAAGCCCAAGTCGGGAACACCAACACCTTCATTCTTTCCTGCAGACCATCAAGTGTGGCTGAATTAAATATCCCACAATGCAGCCCCCTCTCTCCTCTGGCAGCAAGAGAAAAATCATTACAACTAGAATCAGTTCAGATTCATTGTTCCTGTAACATCTGTGACTGTTATTTCAGAACTGCAGCACTATCTGAAAAGGTACATTGATAGTAAATTAGTAGCAGAGATTATCCCTTTAGCTCAAATGCTAAAATACTGCATTTTAAAAAATTAAAGTTTTTCTCCTAGTCTGCAATTAAGTGTTTTAGAGACAACAACAGTAACAGCTATGTTACTATGCTAGGGCTCTTACCAATTTACATTCCTAACATAAAAAATTTATTTGTAATAAACTGAAGGTTCATGAATATTTTTTTAACTCAGATACTGGTATAGGAACAACCTCCCTTTAATCATTCTTTGAGCATCTCCAAGTTCAATTAAATCACACTGCAGTAAAACATTTAAAGTGTGCCAACTGTGACAGTGACTTCTGCAAGAGATTTTTCTTAAATAAACAAAACCATCACTATCTGAAACATCTATCTCAGTAGAAACCTACAGAGATAAAAAGCCTAACAGCTAATTTTTGAGAAGTGAGGGAAAATGAAGACTGGTGAGATTATCTGTCTCCCCTGGCTCCTAAGGGAGGACATTTTGTCAGTTCCCAGGGAATGTGTTTTGCTGCACTGGCTGTGTGCAGCCAAGCTGTGCAGAGTGAGCGGGCAGAGAACCTCCTGCCGGGAGTTTGAATGTTTTGGTACAGATTCAGTGCAGCACAGCCGTGTCACAGAGAGAGAAAAAAATAAATGCCAAGCTACTGAGTCTCCTCAGGGCTGAGATCATGTTTCTATATGGAGATTCAATTCTGGATAAAACAAGTGCCTAACCTTACCTGCAGTGAAACCTATCACGAGTGTCTGGATTACTTCCTTCTAAATGTGATCTGCAGATTGTGCTCATCATCATCATCATCTGATACAGAAACAGCTGCATAAACCCTCTAATCCAGTGCATGAACAGAAGCAACCAAGGAAAGAACAAAATGGAGAAAAATCAAAACAAACATTCAAAGTTACGCTTAATTTTTATTTGGCAGTAAAGAAAAATCACTGTGGCAATATTCTACAAGATGATCACTGGAGTTTTGCTAGGTGACCATAGGACTGGAAGGAAAATTGAAAAGTATTAAAATATGCTTTAAATACACCGATCATCCAGAGCCATTGCTTTTTTACCACATCTTTTCTGCATTGCAGACAAGGCTGCACAATTATAAAAGCAGATCAGAGAATTCCCCGTGATCCTGTATATTGATTCAGAAATGAGATTTCAGGTAAGGGTTAATTTGCACAGATTTAACTACAGGTTTGAGATCACTGCAGCATCTGATTGTTCCTTTCCGCATAAAACAGATTACTGAATTAAATTAGCATATCAAAACTTCATATGGTAGCAGAACTTCACATTAACTGAAATATGAAAAGACTTTCAAAGTTTGTAACAATTAAAACATTTTTCTTTCCCTTTCTTCTCCAAGGTGCTGGTTAAGTAAGTTAAAGTAAATTTATGGCAAATGATCAGGATGCTTAGTCTGAGAATTCTTTTTCTTTGAATATCCAAAATTCCAATTCAAATTCTTTGAATATCTGAAATATCCAATTCTCCCTTCTGAACCCTGAAAATACAAAAAAAATCTATTATTCTTAGCTACACTTCATGTTGTTATAAAGACTGTGGTGTACTTCATTATAGCAAATAAGAAATACATTAACAATATGGTAACAGTAATGAAGATTTTGAAGTCAGTATTGTATTTTGGCACATTAAGTATTAAATAAGCTTATCTTTCTATGCTACTTCTTCGTGTTTAAAGTTCAAATGGTATTTTTTGGAAAGCAGTTACATTTTAACTTTGATTACTGTAGCAAATGTATGTGAAAAATGCTTTGTATCAGATATTTTGAGGTATATTAAAGTAATTTTGAAATGCAAATTTTCACAACTCATTGAGGTAAACAAGAAAAATAGATGCACCAGAAATGACTGAGAGGGATTCTGGGCTAAGCAACAATCCTAAATTCCCTATTAAGGCAAAAACATAAGCCACAAACAGGAATTTTGCCAGAAAATAGAACAACTGTCTTTCAGACTTCCTTTAAATCAATCCTCACATATTTAGGGGAAAAAAGGCAGTTGTGAATAAGTAGGCAGAAGAACCCAACCTCTCTGTACCTTACAGTCCTCTCTGATCCTTTCAGAGTTTCACATTTTCTTCCAGTCTAATGCCTTTCCACAGGCAAAACACCCCCGGACAACAACCATATAGGTCCATAAGTTATAAATACAATTACAGTATAGTGATATCCAAATTTCAGTGAAGTCAGCATAATTTACAGTCAAACTATGCAGGAAGTGCAGAGGAAAACAATCCCCCATTTATACAAAACAGTTTGCTGAAAATATGAAGAAATCTTCCAGGAGAAAATCAGCAAAGTAGAAAAAATAAAATGCACCTTCCTTAAATTTTATTTTGACTCTGCCTCTTCATCCATGAATTCAACGAGTGGAGCATGTCTGTTAGCCTGGGCACCTTCTTGGAAATTGACTTTTTTAATCACTCCTGCCTTGGGAGCCCTTATGGTGTGCTGCACAGAAACAAAGTCAAAGTGAACAGCAGACAACTCAGGGGGTTCCCTCCCCTGTCTCTCTCTCCAGCAAATGCTAGTATTACTTCTTGGTCCAATTAGAACTGAACACAATTCCTTCCTCTGACATGTTTTATTTTAAACCTTTTAAACATTATCCTACATAGATATGGACATAGTCCATTTTCAAGTTTTATTCTCTCATGGATATTTCATAAGTATACTGCGGAGAAAAATGCTGTATAATGCATTTATATGAATTATCATCATCATCATCATATGCATTATAATCAGTATGAACATCTGACTATTATTTTACCTTACTAACTGTTGTAATAAACACCAAACAGAAATAATACAGTTTTAATCCAAAATGTTAATCAGAGAGCAGATTTGTTCCCTTAAAAGAAATGTGCAGATTTACTACAGATATTTCTGTTTTCTGGCCAGGAGGGGTCTTTAGTGGGCAGATATTTGGCAAAATGCAGATGAAAGACAAATACAGCTAATGACAGTAAAGGAACAGCATGCTTACACACCAACCCCCAACTGGTCTGCCAGTCATTGTACCAGGTTAGTTCGATATTGTAGCTTTGCTTCTTGGTAGTTTTTTACATAGGGTTAGTCTAGCATCAAAACATTTAAGATCAGATATTAAATCCTCACATCTAAGGACTCTTTAAATAATAATTTGCTTTTTAATTTTTACATTTTATATTTCAATAGCTCTTAAAAAAGATAACTCAGATAATGTCAGTCTGGATATCAGGCATAAACACATTTAGCATCCAAATGCGAAGAATTTTGTGTGTAGGTTTTTTTTTCAGTGCACAGTTTTATTTAATAGAATTTGAGTGTAATTAAAAAAGAACATGATAAGAGAAAGGCAGATTTTCTCAGCAGTGTTAGTTCTGCTGCCACAAACTGAGGTTTATTTTAAACTAATAGTCAAATCAAACCAGGCTACAGAAACAGTAATTCAAGTAGTCTGAGCCACAGTCAAGCACTGTGACAAGGTAAAATGGCCAAAATGCCAGTCTCCTGAATGCTGTGTGAATAATTATACAGAATCTTTAGTGTGCTCCACATAAAACTTTATGTAAATAATAATAATAATAATAATGAAAGGATTATACACAAGAAGAGTCCTGTGCATATTTACAAAGTCCCCATTAGCTGAATCTCTGCCTGAACTACCAGCAGACATTCAAGTGTCTGGAT